ATTTGGAATGGATGTAAGTAGCTGCAGTCCATCTGCTGATACACTGATCCCTTGATCCAAGAAAATAATCTAATGTGCAACTAAATACAATGTATGGCTAATATAAGGATCTCTTTAAGAACTGCTGTGTTTTTTTCTGGGGAAAGAAAGTGAAATAATTTTCAGGGACTTGTGGGAAGAGGGGAACTATGGATGTGTAAGGCCACAAATTAGTAATAACTACACAGAAATAAATAGAGGGATATATTTACTTCTGTACTCAGTGATTGTTCCTTTTACGTAACTATACAAAGATGAAAATAAGACACTTTGAAACTTCTCTAAATACTACTTTTTTTTTTTAAAAAAAAAGTTAGAATTGCAGTGCAAGTATTGGGTATGGTACAGTATGTTTTTAGGTTTTCTACTAAAATGTACACTTTAAAAAGGAGTGCATTTATGTTAACTTGCAAAGTTTTTGAAAGTAGCAAGATAGGAAATACTAAAAGTCTTTAAATTTCTCCTATTTAAATAATTTTTTGCTGTTTTCATGTTCTTGGAAGTTGTTTAAGGGAAAAGTATACATAGCTAAACATTTTTCCAGCACAGATGGTCACCAGACCATGTAACCGTCTCGGTTAGCTTCTTCTGTTTGATGTTTCGGTCCTGATATCTGCAGTACTTGGTGGTTAAAAAACAGAATGACTCTATGTCAGGTAATTGTGGTAATAACCAGGCGGATTAATCCAGGCATACTTGAATTCAGGTCTTCTGTTTGAATATTTGGTTATTTCATTTTGCATATCTAACAGAATTCTAACAAAAACACTTGAAAGTTGCACAATTTGGAAGAGTCGATCTCCAGGTAGATCAGGGCTTTGACTTTGGAGGTGGGAGATTTATGCTGAAGAACAGGACTGAAATCAACAGAAGAGACGCTGGTGTGTTTGTCTCCCATCCTAGGGCAAGCTTCTAAAAATGGTTTTTGTGGGATATGTAGGTAAATACACTCCTCTCTTGACCAGCAATTTTAGCTTTATTAAAATATGCGAAAAAAAAAAGGTAATGTTGTCTTAGATGAGTCAGTATGTTGCAGTGAAAAATTGCTGTCCCTCTAAAGTGCACCTACTTTGTTTGCGATGTTTTACCCATTATTTAAGTGCTAAGCCTGAAGGTTGAAACTGGTAATGATAAAAACTTGAAGTACGTTGATTCATTTAGACTCTAGAAAAAAGTTAATATTGTAACAATCTATTCATCACCAAAAATCACCTTATTACAGTGACAGCTTTCCATATTATGATCTGGCTAAGCAGGATGATTATGATTGCTACTAATGCTAAGTTTTTGTTGAAGTGAGGCAAGAGTCATCTAAGGTGTGTTACATTCTGTACTTAATCTCTGATTGAGATGCAGTGATAGTCATAGATTTTATTTAAATACCTAGTAATAAGAATTGAGTCATGGCTATGAAAATTAAGTAAATTTACTAAGATCTAAAGAAATTTACAATTTTTTTTTAATAAGCTTGAAAAGGAACCTGCAGGAAAACAAGAATTCTCAGGAAGAAATTTATATTTGGAAATAGCACGATCAGATCATAAAAATGTTGTGAGGAAGGCTGTGTCTTGCAGTGCAACAGCTTTGCCCATAAAGTAGCATTTTGATTTCTGGTGCACATATTATCTTTTTTTTGATCTCTAAGCTGTTACTATTGCAAGGCAATAAAAACTCTGAGTGAATGTTGGAATTTGTGTTTCCCTTATTACTTCAGCATAAAGGCTGAGAGGTAAGGTATAGTGGGTTGGTTGGTTTGTTTGTTATAAAGCTTGCTGCTCAAGATGTATGAAAAACTGTTATCTTTTTATAGAGGATTTTGAATAATAAAAATGCACTAGGAAATCCTACTCATCTAAAATTAACTGTCTTACCCTGTAGAAATAAAAAATCCTTGAAAAACCTCTACCGTCTGGTTGTTCGTCCACATAGAGATGCAGTTTACCATGCCTGCTTTTCTAAGGATAGACAAAGAATAGCATCATGTGGAGCTGATAAAACACTTCAGGTAAGGTACCTATGCATTACTGAAAAGAGATGCTGTGTACCATTTTGATAACATTTCTTAACAGTCCCGTTGCTTTTCTTTTGCCGTTATGTGGAGATATTAGGGATATAGAACATATTGGAGAAAAATGATTGAAAAGGATGTATTATTACATAAATATCAAGTTGCATATTTAGAATTGTAAGCATTACCTTCTAGTTCGAAAGCTTAACAGTGTGATTTCAGGGTTTATACCCTCACCAGTGTAATATGTGAATGTGAGTTGCCTTTTAATCATATGGAAAAGCTCACAGCCTAAGTTAAGTAATGCACCCCAGAATATTTAATATTTGCTTGCAAAAATGGTATTTCCAGTTGTGGTAGACCTTCTACAGAACTGAGAAACAGTAAGATGTTTTAGTTACAGCTTTACTATTTCTATGGGGTGGTAATGGGCATTATGCTACTTTGGTGCTTAATTAGTAAATTACCTCATGCAAAAGAAATAAATCTGGAGAGAAAAATGAACCCCTGAAGTTGAGGACAGTATTTGATTGGAAACGGGCCCAAGTGCATAGGAAGCGGATTAGGGGAGACAGAGAGGAAAGTGACTAATATAAATTTGCCAGCAGTCTGCCTGGAGGGGAGCCAGCCAGCTCTCAAGAAAACTAGCAATCAGCCAGACAGTAACCTGGTAAAGTATCCATATTCCAGACAGCCAAAGGTAAGGGAAAAGAGCAACGTTTCTGCAAGCCTTTGTGGACGCTTGATAAGTTGAGTACTAAGTAATAATATTAGTGGTGCTTAGTTGCTGTTAATTTGGCTACTTAATGTGTTGTTATTGTGTTTTTATTTAATTATTTTATTTGCTGGCTTCTACAATATTATGAACGTGGCATCCACTTGCGGAGATTCCTGGTGGATGTACTCATTTTATGCTGTGCTGAAGTTACTGTGCTGGGCTTTTGTACTTAATGGCCTTATTATTGAGACTGCAGATTGCTTATTTTTCTCTTCATTTTCTACTCAAAAAAGTAAAATCTGTGGATTGCGATTGCATTTAAACTAAACTTTTGTTGAAGAAGTAATAGGAAAATTACTAGTAATTTTTTTTTCTTTGTTTAACTCCGAACTTAGGTTTTTTCTAATAGTGGCCTAAGCTTTTCACTTTTCAAGGCTACTTCTACTGTTCCTGTAAAATAAAAAAACATTGCTAGATTAAGAACTGATACTCTGGAGAATTTGCTGTAAATGTAAATTTCCTGTTACTTCAGTATTTGTGTTCTTATTTGAAAAATAGCAACCGTTTCATTGTCATTGATATTCCCATTCAATGAAAAGTAAAGGAAAAAATGGGGACTTCACAATTGTAGTATCCTGAATGCTGCTGTAAAGAACACAGCGTGATTTGTTTTAGTAGTTAAGAATATGTAACCTAAGGAGGAAAGGGAAAACTGATTTATACCCCCCCCAAAGTTAAATCTCAGAATTTTGGGAAATTGATTAGTGGTGTGTGACTCTTTTTCCCTAACTGTCCTTTTATTGCCTATGACTAGCTCAGGATTGAGACTCCTGTCATCCTGTGCAACTTTACACTGCTACTTTTTTCTTGTTTGTTCCCCAAATCATCACTTGCTGCTGAAATTCTTACTTTTCACAGAAGGATATCACATATATGTAAACCTGGAATTTGTAGTTTTAAGAATGGTTTAGATTTTGTTGATAGATACAGTGTTTTGCAGTTCCTATTTAAAAATACTGAGAAAGGACAGGGATTTAGGCTTAAAGAGTGAGGGTAGAAAAAGGCATTAATGAAACACACATTGCATACAGAAATCTTCTTAAAAATCAGTTTTCACTGTTTCTCTCCCTAACAATTTCTATGATCCTTACAAAATTGAAGCTTAAATTATTTTTATTATGTTCATTTGCCTGAAATTATAAATGCTTTCAAAAGTAAACCAATTTTATTAAGAGCTTATCTGAAGAGAGCTGTTTGAGAGAAAACAAACTTATATTTGTGGTTTAAAATTGTACATGAGGTAAAAGATGTTATTGTTTATTGTTTTAGGTGTTTAAAGCAGAAAGTGGAGAGAGACTCCTGGAGATAAGTGCCCATGATGATGAAATACTTTGTTGCGCTTTCTCTGCAGATGGTGAATTTGTAGCAACTTGTTCAGCTGATAAAAAAGTGAAGGTAAGGAAATGGAGAATAAACAATTTTTGTTTCAAATTAGTAATTCTAATTTCAGTTTTAACCAACTCAGGCAGAGCAAATTCTTAAGACTAAAGGGTTTTTTAACTGTCTTAAGTTTTATGTGGATAATTCGCTACTTAACAAACACCGAGAAAAGCTCTACTTGTTACATGACATAAAAGATACTTAATGTTAACATCATACTTACAGAATGACCACTTATTTTACTTGTATTATCAGATGATTCTTTTTAAGTAGAACACAATGTGTGAATCCAGTCCTATCCATAACGTGAGATGAATGTATCCATAATTCTTTTTTTCCATGTTTTTTTTCTCTTACACTTGAATAATTTGGAATTTTAAATTCCTCAGTATTATAGCAAAACCTTGGTGAAACTCCAATATTTGTCAGATTCTAATCTGAATTATGACCTTTCCCCTCATAACTTCCTGTTTCTAATTGTAAATAAATATGCTTTAGTTTTATCTTAAAATTATTTTTGAGGTATTATTAAGAATGTTTTACGGCTTTACCTGTATTTCAGCAGAATTTACAGATTTTTTTAAATTAAGTACTTTAAATATATTTAAAAGTCTTTTTCATCCTTCAATTCTGTCTAGATCTGGAATTCAAGAACAGGCCAGTGTAAGTGTGTATATGAAGAACACGCAGAGCAAGTCAATTGCTGCCAGTTCAATAACGGAACTGGTCAGTATCTTTTAGCCACCTGCTCAAATGACACTTTCATCAAAGTAAGTGGAAAAGGTTGCGATTATTCTCATGCTGCTTATCATAACAGGATAATTATTGATGTATAAATGTATTTAAACACTATAAATTACATTTTTTAAATGAGCCTGGTAGAAGAAAGATGGCAACAGATTAAAAGTACTGATTGTAGCTCTGTAACAGGATTTCAACAGAGCAGAACAGAAGGAGTTTTTATGCTCAGCGAAGGAGAATGGGCAAGTTTTCTGTCGGTAGGGCATGAAGGCGAGTGCTTTGGCGAGACTTTTACAGGGTGGGATAAGAATGGGAGAGTATGGGAGTGAAATGCCTGATTAAAAACAGCATAAGAAAATTGAAGGCAGAAATTTAGGATTAAAAACATTGGTAATGCAGAAAGATTGGGGGGCGAAAAAGCATTATTTAAGTGTAGTAGGTACGTTTTTTATTAAATTGATTGGACATAGTAAAGAACAGAAGGTGGAAGCCAACAAAATAACAGTAATCAAAGCAAGAGGTTTGTCAGGTTAACCAGCTGGCACTATTCAGCTTGGGGAAGCAGTATGTATACACAGAAAGAGCAGAAACTGGGCAACTGAAGTCTGCATGTGAGGCAAAGGGGAAAACAGAAGAATCAAGTAAGACCTAGACTGTGGCAGATAAGAGTGCAATTTCACAGTACAACTAAGTAAATCACACAGTTAACTGGCACTGAAGATGGTAGTCCTACTGCCCTGGCTATATATTCTTGCCTTTGTTGCGGTGCATATGCTGATCTTATTCTGCAGTGGTTCAAGGAACCAACTCAGCAAAAAACTCTGTTCGGTGCAATTGGTTTTCTGCTCATTTAGTTCCCTGTAGTGGCTCAGTTGCCCAGTTCCAGTGCAAGAGAACTGTTGGGAGTTGAGAGTGAGGAGTGAGCTTGTTAGCCGGGGGGACAACTGTTTGTACCCGCTGTAGCTGGCAGGATGTGAGGTGTTTTAACTGTAATGTAAAGTCTCATCTGAAGAGTTCTTGCAAGAGCTTGCGTTTGTGTAAACTGGAGGTAAAATACAGTTGTGATCTGATGTCACGGTGGAAAGTAGAGGCTTTCTTGCTGACTTCCTGGATGTCTCAGGAAATGCATTTGCTGTCTGAGGCTGACATCTTGGAACAGGTAGATTTAGAAAGGACTTGTTTAAATTCACCATTTTTATACTGTAAATGTGGTTAAGATTTTATAGTGTTTGACATTTTCATGAGAAATGAATAACAGAACTGAAGTATGCACAATAATCAAAAGGGACTGATTTTTTTTTCAGAGAACACCAGTGGGTTTTTTATGTAGGAGAAAAGGAAGAAATTTGGAAACAGAGAAAGGAAGTGTGGGTTATAGGCTTGGAAACCACTGTATGTGAGAGGGCTGGGGAGGAGGAACTCTAAACAAACACGCACATGGAATGTTCTTTTAACTTTGTTAGAAATTTCATTTTTTTATTATGTGTAAGGCACATAATTCTGAACTTCAAAGTTGAAAGGGAATGAGGCAAGAGGAAGCTTCTTCCCCAGTCTGAGGAAACTTTCAGTAACTTTGTGCTATTCAAGGGCCTTGTCTGCACTGTACAGAATGTTTAACTAGTTCTATATAATTCAAGTGTTAATAGTTTCCATGCAAGTTAGCAGATGGAGGTAAATTGTGGTGTAGTCTGGGGCATAGCATCAAGTCCATGAGCATGTGGGTAAAACTAAGAAAAAAATATTTAGGTTTTGGTTGCCAGTGCATGATTTTGAGAAGAACATGTCAACAATCTGTCTTTGAATAATTCATGAATATGATGATATTTGTATGGTTTTTTTCTCATGCAGCTTTGGGATTTGAACAAAAAGTATTGTAGAAATACAATGATTGGTCATGTAAATTCCGTCATTCACTGTAGATTTTCACCAAATGATGAATACGTTGCTAGCTGCTCAGCAGATGGAACAGTAAAGGTACGCAGTGTATTTTTAAATGAACTGTTTGTTTTGATGATTAATTTTTTTCTTTTTTTATAAAATGCAAATTATGTATAAGAAAACTTTGTGTCTGTATGGTCAGCTTTAATGAATTAAATCCTGAAACAGTTGATTATTGGTCCCATCTTTAATGCAAGATTTTGAAATGGCTTGTCTGGTACTAGGGAAAAAAGTTGGGTGCCTGTCTTTGTAAATAAAGTGGACTTTTAATAGAGTTGCAGAACACAGATGTGTGAGCCGACTCGGGCAGGACACAGGAACAATGACAAAACCACAGATGGAAGACAAAGAGCAAATTTACTCTCAATACCTCACAAATCGGGGAATCTCCAAAGCGACACCCAGGCAGAGGGACGTGAGCAGGGCATGCAGGCACCGCAGACCGGGAGAAAGTCCTTGTTAGCAGGAGCGTGTGTGCTCTGACTTGCTGTTCTCGCCTGCTTTTCAAGGGTTCTAGCAGGTGTAGTTTTCCACTGTGCTTTGATCTTCTTCAACAACGAGGCAGTGATCTCATGTACGATAGATAAGGTGTCCCTGAGTCCATCCCAGGGCTACGTTATCTAAGGGCCGATGTTCTACTTGCGAGCACACAAGGCTGAACAACAATTAGTGTGATATATGTGTTGTCCAGCACCCAAGGTGCGAGTCACTTGAGCGTGTTTGCTGTCCTCCTTGCCAATCTTCGGTTATTTTCCCACTTTGGTTATTTTCCCACAACATAGTATTTTTATTTTTATTCTTTTGTTAAGAGATAGTGTTGTAGCTGGAATAATACGAGGGAAAAACCCAGAGAGTTGGTTCTGCTACAGTCTTCTTCTTTTGTTTTTTTTTGTTTTGTTTTGTTTTGTTTTGTTTTGTTTTTCTTTGTTTTTTTGGGGGTAGTTGCTTTTGGTTGTTTTTTTTCTTTTCTTTTGATCTAAGCTGTCTGAGCTTGTGAATATTCTAATGCTATTTCTTGACTGAGGAAACTAGCAAAGGCTTTTTTTGGTATTCTACCCTCACCTCCCTTCTTTCGTAGAAGCGATTGGCAGTTAGCTCTCCCCTGTTCAGTAAAAAGAGGTTTTGTGCATTTCCTTTCCTTTATATTGCAGCTTTGGGAAGCACGCTCAGCAAATGAACTGAAAAGTATTGAGATAAAAGATTTCTTCAGAAATGCAGATGAGCAACCAGATGATGTAGAGGTCTTAGTAAAATGTTGCTCTTGGTCCAGAAATGGTGACATGCTTTTGGTGGTAGCCAAAAATAAGCTTTTGGTAAGTACCTCACTTTAATAATTTTCTTCAAGGAGTATAGAGTCATAGAATGTTTTGGGTTGGAAGGGACCTGAAAGATCGTCTAGTTAGAAATTATGATTAAAGATAAAATTCGAGACCATTAAGATGTTTCAAATATAAGGTACGTGGTTTCAAGTGTGTGTAAAGTAAAAATATGTGGGCAAGAAACTTGTTGACTGAGAGAAATACCCTCTAAATTCAAGAATGTACATTGTTGAGCATATAAGCTATTTGTCTATGGTGAAGTCATACTACTGGATGCTAACTATTGTAATTATGTGTTTACAGCTTTTTGATGTTAAAACATGTGATTTGTTAACACAAGTCATCGTAAGTCATCACAGTACAATTCAATACTGTGACTTTTGTCCTGGTGATGAGTTAGTAGCAGTTGCTTTGTCTCACTGTTCTGTTGAGGTAAGTGATTGCCTTTTGTCTTAATAGTTTCTTGTATGCAGAGGTAAAACAAATGTAGGTATTTTAGTGAGCTTTCAATGTGCTTTATTCTTTTCAATCTTTGTTCGCTTCTGGAATGTGAAATATTAATTGGGAAATAATATTTTAAAGTTATGTTTTCATTTTGGACAACAGAAGTCACATTTATATGAAAAGACTAGGCTACTAAACTTCTTTGAAGTTACTGTTGTCTCGCTCAGGAGTATAGGCTGTCCCATTGCTAAACTCAAACAAAACCCCCTCTCCCTCTATATGCTGCTACAGAATGTGGCAACTCGCTAAAAAGGAATAAAACATCTAGGGACTAGTCCCACTTTTGGGACTAGCACAGCTAGAGTAAACCTGTACAAGTATCAGTTTGGGGGTTGGGTTTTTTTTTTTGTTATTTGGGTTTGGTTGTGTTTGTGCAATCTACATGGTCAGCTGAACTTGTATTTTTCTTTTCTCTGTTTTTTCCCCCCTCATCTTTTAAAATTACAGCAGTCAAAGAGGCTGCTGATTCAATTTCCCTAACCATCGGAATGTGATAGGCGGGCACAATTCTTTTAACATCTGATTTCAGAATGAGAAGTAAGGAAATACTAGAAGAGATAGTAATTAAGTATGCTACTTGTTTTGCACTATTTTCTCTGTAAATGCATTCTAAATCCACTTTTCTTCTTTCATATTTTTTTTGTAGTTATGGAATATTAAGTCTTTATCAAAAGTAGCATATTGCAGGGGACACATGAGCTGGGTTCACTGTGTGACGTTTTCGCCAGATGGATCTTTATTTCTGACATCATCTGATGACCAGACAATACGCGTAAGATGACATCTTTCTTTTTTGAAAAATGTGAATTTCATAGAGTCATAAAATAGTTTTGTTTGGAAGTGACCTTTAAAGATTGTGTAGTCCAGCCTCCCCTGCAAGGAGCAGGGGAGGTTGGACTAGATCAGGTTGCTCCAGAGCCGCATTCAACCTGATCTTGAGTGTTTCCAGGGATGGGGCATCTACCACCTCTCCAGGCAACCTGTTCCAGTGTTTCACCACCTTAATTGTAAAGAATTTCTTGCTAATATCTAGTCTGAATCTACCCTCTTCTAGTTTAAAGCCATTACCCCTTGCTCTATCGCAACAGGCCCTGCTAAAAAGTTTCTCCTCATCTTTCTTGCAAGCCCCTTTTAAGTACTGAAAGACCACAATAAGGTCTCCATGGAGCCTTCTCTTCTCCAATTTTTATATATATATTATTAAATTATTAATTTAAGGAATTGTTTAGTATAAAATTACATAATATATAATGTTTATATTATATGTGATATATATTTAGTATTTATGTGTGTTTATAGCCAATATAAATGTAAATATTTGTTATAAAATTATTTAGATATGCAGTAAAATGAGCTGGCTTTTTTACTTTATTTACTGTATTATCTAAATATACTGTGTATAGATATAATTTAAAGTCCAGTGGCTGTTCAAGAGTAATTACAACCTTCTGTTTTGTTTTAGATTTTATCTGAATCAGGAACGCTGAAGTTTTTTGAGGATCCTAGCAGACTTGATATTACTTTCATTGTTAGATATATTTGCATGTTAATATTTAGGGTAGATTTCTATAATTCTAATGCCTTTAAAACCTGTGAAAGTAAAACTATAGTTTACCAATGTAACCTTTCATTTTCTCCCAAGTTAACACTTATATTCTTGGAATTTTGAAAGCAGCTGAAGTATAGAAATCTGTACTTGGTATTTTTTGTAGTTGGATTTTAATGCTCTTCCTTGGATGAGAAAATTGTGTACTTTATAGCTATGACTCTAAACACAGGGGAGTCTGCTGGTCAGCCTGGAAGAAATTAGTTCTGTTTCATCTGTTGGAATCACTATAGTAATTGCACAACCTTCCCTAGTAAATAAAAATAGCAGAAGCATAATTTTCATTCATTTAAAAAATCAGTGTTACTTGCAAGTTTGTAAGACTTTAGTTTACAGGTACTCTGTCTCAGCAAGTGTCATATCTTGTCCTTTAGTAAAACTAATGAAATACTGTGTTCTTCAACAGATTTGGGAAACAAAGAAGGTGTGCAAGTCTTCTGATGCTGTGCTAAAAAGTGAACTAGATGTTGTGTTTCACAGTGATGAAGTGATGATTTTAGCAATTTACAATCAGAAACATTTACAGGTAAGCTGTATTTCTCAATATGTTAGTACATTTGAATGTTACCTGCAAATCTCAGTAGGAAATGGAGGAAGCACTGAAAGAACTGCTTGTTCATGGCTTTCAACAGTTGAATCTGTACCAGATGACTCTTAATGTATGATAACATTTTTGTATCTAGAAACTCTGCCTAGTTTATTAAGCAAAAATGAAGTTTGAGGGGAAATTTCCACACTGATGTCAAAACTGAAGCTGGATGCAGGGTAACAAAACTGTTTTCTCTTCACGACTGGGTTGGCTGTGGGCTCTCCGAGGGGCTTATCTGTGCACAGCAATGTGTAATGTGCGCAGCACCTATAGACCAGGTGTTACACAGCACATGTACGTAATGCATCAGAACTTCTGTGTAATAGCTGAAGGAGTCATCTCAAATTGGGAGAATGAAAAGTGTGAGCCCAGGTCTGCCTATAGCCTTAGGAGAGCATGGGGTCTTTTATGTCTTGAAGAAAATACTAATAGTGGATACACTCTTATTATGCTGGACCCCTCCACCAAGTAGTAAGTACACCAACATCCAAAATATAATTTTTCTGTTTCATGATAGCAAATGTGTGCACATCTTTTTTTAATCATGATTTTCTAATACGTCAAATAAAGTCAGTTGATAGGATTTTCTTTGAAGTGAAGGTAATACAGTTCTTTCAGATTGTGCTTCTACTTGATTGTAACCATTTAAAAGCGGAAACACTTTCATATTTGTTTACTGCTTACACAAACCAATTGCATTTTAACCCACAAAATGGGCTGTTGTGGTTTAATCCCAGTCTGCAACTAAGCAGCACATGGCTGCTTGCTCTCTCTCCCCTGATGGGATGGGGGAGAGACTCAGAAGAGCAAAAGGGAGAAAACTCATGGGTTGAGATAAAGATAGTTTAATAGGTAAAGTAAAAGCCATGCACACAAGCAAAGCAAAACAAGGAATTCATTCACTGCTTCCCATCAGCAGGCAGGTGTTCAGCCATCTCCAGGAAAGCAGGGCTCCATCACATATAACAGTTACTTGGGAAGACAAACACCATCACCCCGAAAGCACCCCCCCTTCCTTCCTTCCCCAGCTTTATATGCTGAGCATGACATCATATGGTATGGAATATCCCTTTGGTCAGTTGGGGTCGGCTGTCCCGGCTATGTCCCCTCCCAACTTCTTGTGTACCCCCAGCCTACTCACTGGCGGGGTGGTGTGAAGAGCAGAAAAGGCCTTGACCCTGTGTAAGCCCTGCTCAGCGCTAACTAAAGCATCTCTGTATTATCAACACTGTTTCTAGCACAAATCCAAAACATAGCACCATACTAACTGCTATGAAGAAAACTAACACTACCCCAGCCAAACCCAAAACATTCTCTTTGCTTGGTTTTCATCAGAATTAATTCTTCATTAATCTGGGTAATTCTTACTGTAATACTGTTGATATAGCATATAGCAATCATTGTAGCGATTACATACGGTATTATATAGCAATTAACATCATACAATTCAAATCATTGGCTATTCTTGCCCAAAATCAAATCCCGCTGAGGTACACGTCAGACACCTCCATTCTTTTGCGTCATACACCAAGTGCACCCAGGTCCTTGAGCAAAAGCAATCCCACAAATGGGTTTGCCTTTGCCCGTGGCGGGAATAACCCAGACTGACTTCCCCGGCCTATTTTTTATGCGCTACAGGGACTTTATCACATTCTACAGTATGTAAAAGTTTTGATTGGGCAGGGCCAACTCGATTGGCAGATCCCCTAGTGTTGACTAACCAGGTGGCTTTTTGTGTACCCCAACGTTTGAAGGTCCCACCACCCGTTGCTCTCAGTGTAGTCTTTTAAGAGCCCATTGTATCATTCAATCTTCCCAAAGGCTGGTGCATGATAGGGGATGTGATATACCCACTCAGTGCCATGTTTTTTGGCCCAGGTGTCTATGAGGTTGTTTTGGAAATGCCATATCTGTCAGCACAAGGTAGCTATTTCAGGTGTTTAGCCTAAAGGAGCATCTGAGTGGGAATGAACCTTTGTTCTGGGCTGTGAAAGCAATGAATTCTTATTGCTGGATGTATAGATAAGTGAGTGTTGGAACAGATACTGTGGCCCTGCACTGAGGGACGCTGTGCAGATAATAGTTTTGTTTAGGGTCTTGTCGTTTTTCTTAATTTGGCTGAAAGCAAACATAAGCTATGTAATCCTGGCTACTCAGCATGACCGTTGCTTTTATTTCTAGCCCTAAGAGATGCTCAGCTTTTCCTAGGCTGCTACTAGAATGAGAGATTCCTCTGCAGAAACTTTTATTCTTGTTTGCCTTGTGCTTCCTGTTTCTGTCTTCCTGATTATTTTCTATCCTCCTTCTTTTGTCTGTCCTGTCAACAAATTAACTATTTCTTACTCCACCTAAAAATCCTACTGAAATAACTTAAGTGGAATGGTGGTGGTATTTCAGTAGAGGGGAATACAGACGTGGAAATAGCTAAAGTGTCTCCAGTGGGGCCTTGTCAAAAAGATTTCAGACTTTGAGCCAACAGAAAGTTGTCAATGTTGAAACTGAAATTTATGTGAAAAAATAGTATGTGAGAAAAGAGAAGCTGCATCTATTGCAGTGAAGAGATGGGAGAAACCACAGCAAATGGAGTTATCCCTATTTATGTGTGGAGAGTAGTTTAGGATAATCACTGATTCTTAATCTTCCTGAATTGTAATATCTGTAGCGACTGCCATGTGTAATGGTGTAGTCTGGCTCTCATCTGAATTAGACCCGATCTATTTATTTATGATTGGTATATTTCTATTGTAACTTTACTTGAACCATTTCCTAGAGAGAGATGGTGCTTAGATTTTCTGCCCTAAATGCAATATTCTGACATGCCGTAGAGGTGCAGTCATGAGAGAAGACTCCATTGTAGAAAGAGAACAGATTTTTCACCCTTGCACAAGAAAAGAAATTGACTGAAAAGACAGTTAAGCATGTAATCTAACAGTATACCTCTGCTATCCATCTCTAAAAGTAGTTTTTCTTGCAACATGATGTTTTTACCCTTTGTAATTTGTAATCTCTCAGAATTGGGGTCCTAGTCACCTTTTGATGTGCAGTATGTTCACTTTTAAACACTTCACACTGGTAGCTTTCTAAACTTAAACTTGTTTGTAAATCATTGTGTTCTAAAGATTTATTTTTTTTTTCCCCAGGGTAATTGATTTGAGGGCAATATTGAGTTGAGATTTGGTGTATTGTATGTGCTAATAAGTTTAAAGTCATGCTTACAGAATGCTGGCTGGCAAGGTAAATTTGAGCATGGGGCTCACTATATGGCTTTTGGAAATTGGGAGTAGTATTTTGAGTTACTGTTTTCTGTAGTCAGACAAACTTTAAAAAGCCTTCTAATACTGAAATATGTTTCCTTCTGCAAACTTGTCCTGTTCAGAGAGCATTCTATGGAGATATTTGACCTGCAAAGCAATTGGTTTATGAAAGTAACTGATCCTTATCATTCAAAGTTTGAGACTGGTACACTGTTCTCTTTAGCCTTCCTAGCTCTATATTGTAATTTATTTAAGTTTAAATTTAAAAATATTGTAATATCTTAATTAACTTCCTATCTTGCAGCTTATCAATGGAAATACAGACAGTGTTGTTATGCACACAGCAGCCCAAGAATCCCCCATTTCCTGCTGTTGCTTAAGTGAAGATCTTAAATTTGCAGCTTTTGGACAGGAGAGTGGAACAATAAAGGTAATAAATCCTAAATTTGATTTTTAAAAAAGTAGGAAAACACCCTTCTTGGTGCTTTTTCTTTTTAAAGAAATGTCATTTGAATGACTTGGTACAACGATATTCTTCAAATTTTTTACATTTGTGAGTGATACCTAAATGACAATAATTTAAAGGTAGTGCTAATAATCACAGAACGGTAGGGGTTGGAACGGACCTATAAACATTATCTAGTCGAACCACCCTACTGAAGCAGGTTCACGAAGAGCAGGTTGGACAGGAACAGATCCAGGCGGGTTTTGAATATCTCCAGAGGAGACTCCACAACCTCTCTGGGCAGCCTGTTCCAGTGCTCTGTCACGCTCAAAGTAAAGAAGTTTTTCCTCATGTTGTGATGGAATTTGCTGTGTTCCAGTTTGTGCCCATTGCCCTTTGGCCGGTTGCTGGGCACCACTGAAACGAGTCTGGCCCCATCCTCTTGACACCTACCCTTGATAAGGTCCCCTCACAGTCTTCTGAGATAATGGAGCTCTGAATTTCATTTTACTAAGGACTAAGCTAATATGAATTTTTGGTTGTTCCAGTCCATTGCCTGAGAATCGTGTATTTACAATCTTGTGTTATTTAAAAAAGAATTTGCAGGTTTTTTTCTTCCTTTTCCTCAAGTATGTAAAATAAGTATAATTATTACGTTCTTCATTGTAAAGGTATTACAGTTGTTGGATGGGAAAGTTCTGAAGTCACGGGAAGCCTACAGGACATCCGTGCAGCATTGTCGATTTACTTCTGATTGTCAGACTCTCATTTCAAGTGCTCATGATTCTGTTATACAGGTTTGGAAGATACTTAAAAAGATTATGTTGTAACTTACTTACAATTTATTTAAATAGATCTTTTATACTATAGATAATGTGAACTCAGTAAATGACTGCTGTATTCTGTATTGCTCCATCTTGGGATAAGGGACTGTAGAAACCATAGCCTCTATTTATACCTTATGTGGTAATGAATATTACACAATTACTATTATTAACGCTGTGGATGACAGAAAGGCACCATCTTCTTTAAGAGGGGTGAAAGGAACATTAATTTTCAAACAAGATAACTCAGCAGTTCTAATGGCATAAGTGAAGTGTTTCGGACACGACCCAGAACTGGCTATATATATTAGGTCTGTCAGGGGGCTTTCTTACACTGTCTGAAGGAATGAGGTAAAAAGACCTGTCCCTGAGCAGGCTGGTGTGTCCACCTAGTCCAGTACATCGCTGAATACAGATACCAGCTAGAAATAGAATGGCTGCACTAATGTAGTCTCAAATTAATAAGCTCTGCCTCTCAGCAAGGTAGATTGGCTCTGGAGAAGCATTCTGGTGTGTCTATATTAGCGTTTTAGCTCAGCTCAGGGATGCACTTTTGAAGTGAATGTCCTGGTCGTTTATGCACACTGTGCTTTAGTTTGCACTGCAGAGCAGTCGCAGGCATGCTGACGGGATTCCTAAACTAGAGCACACGCTCCAGCTACTAATAAGCATTCAGTTCAGACAACCAAACTTGAGCTGGTTTGAAGTGGAACCTGCAAAACACATGTGGATGCTGATCCTCAGCACCGTTTTGCTCACCAGATCTGTTCCAGCTTCAGTGTTCTACCTGCTTGCTGATATACATGCAAACTATGCTGCATCCCGCTTCGGTGTGTGTTTCTCTCTAACTCTGCATTGAACTTATGGATCTGAAGCGAGTTTGAGTGCCATCACTGTGGTCAGTTAAGCCGTACAGACAGCTCACCACTTTATCGACTTTTGGCTCCTTTCAGGTCTAATGTGGGTAGTTTTTCTTCTGGGTCCTCAGCTCCCTCTAGTGGATAGTGTCTCAGTTAAGCCTCCGGGATTGTCGCCTGAACACCTCTGCTTTCTGTTCTTTCTTTGATGCTGAAAACCTATTAATTTGAAAACTATTAAGTCATTGTCATTTAAATTGATGCTTAATAGCTTCTGTAGAATAAAATGACAATTCTTCCATTTTCAGTGAATAGTTGAATTAAAAACAGAAGTGTTGTTTTGTTATAAAAATGCAAACCAAAATGGCATTTCATTAAAAATACACTTTAAAAATATAAAACAAAGTGAATTTAAGTATCAAAAATATGAGGTCTGCCAGATGACTGAAATCTATTTGTTGCAATAATCAAAGGTTTAAAACGTAAAACTTCTGGGGTGCCTAGAAAGTTATTGTTTTGCTTTTCCTTTTAAATTACCAGTGAATTTTAAGCATCAAATTCACTTCAAAAATCAGATTATGTGTGTATTATAGGGAACTCTCTCATACGTGACTATTAAATACTATGGCATCCTCAATCTTCAGCATGCCTACCATGGATATCTTCAATATCTAACCTTTTAATTCGTTGCCACCTCCATAAGAACTTTTTATTATTCCTGTGACTGAAATATCCACCAGTTAGTTCATTCTTCTTAACTTATGTTTGCCATTAATATTTTTTTAAAAGTATTCCATCTTTATGATTAGGTATGGAATTGGCAGTTGAGTGAATGTGTGTTTCTGAGAGGACACAAGGAAGCAATCAAGGATTTCAGACTTCTGGAAAATTCAAAACTTCTTTCTTGGTCTTTTGATGGAACTGTTAAGGTAAATGAAGGCTGTGTATCAACAAATTGCATAAAATACATTTTACTGTCTCTTCTGAGATTTGGTATTTCTTGTACTTTGACAAATATTTTATTGAATTGATCCTAAAGTGTAAGCTGACAATTTTGCATTTTCAATTTCTACTAAGACTTACACTCTTGATGTATTTTAACTCTTAATGTAAGTATAGCAAAGTGTTGGCCATATTAGAATCGTGCAGCTGAGTTTTATCTCCTATATATTGTTCTGTAAGATGCAGGTTTTTTAACGTTTTTACAGTGTTACAAAAGTAATCTGGTTTTTCCTGTATATTTGGTAGGTTTGGAATATCACTACTGGAAACACAGAAAAAGATTTTGCTTGCCATGGAGGTGCTGTTCTTTCCTGTGCTGTTTCACCTGATGGTAGTAAATTTTCGTCTACTTCTGCTGACAAAACCGCAAAGGTTGGTTACTTTCTGTACAAAGATAAAAATTATGCCTTATTTGTCCTGAAATGCGTGCTATGTTTTTTTATTATGAGGTAGCTAATGATTATTTAAGTTATCCTGTTGTATTTCTAGTATTAAATGTTGTTTATCTGTGAACATGTTTGTAAAGCTGTTACAGCAGTTCATAAATGATCTTGGATGTAATTTCCAGCTGTCCTGGTGACTTCTGTACAAATAAAATGCATGTTTAACGCACAAGTTTGTACAGAACACCTTCTTTAGTTCTCTGTATAGATTTGTTAATAGCCTACCATTCTTAATTTGGAAACCTAAGTTAAGAAAAATATGTGGAACTTCTGGTGAAAGTGCTGTCCATAGTTTCTGGTATTCCTGTTCAGAAGCAAAGTGCAAAAAGAAGTGAGCTGTTTAATATTCTGAGGCTGCCCTGTTAGATTTTTAAAGTGTCCCATTACATTTTCAAAATATAGCTTTAAATTGATTGATGAATCCTTTTTCTATGAACAGCTTAAAACTTAATTGTAAATGAATCAGTTTCATTAAAGAGTATATTCCAAGGAAAAAAATATACACGCAGTTGGTTCAGTAATTTGTAGCAAATGTGGTCCTGTGTGATTCAGATAATAAAAAGAAAAACAGACTACAGTGTAATACATACATAAAGGTGCATGCATATATACAAAAAGTCTTATGTACTTTTGAATACTAATGCCTTTTTAGGAAGAAGTCATAATTGGTTTTGAACTCATTTTTTTCACTCTTCTGTAATGTTTTCCATTTAGATATGGAGCTTTGAAAGTTCATCTGTTCTTCATGAGCTGAAAGGTCATGAAGCCTGTGTGCGGTGCTGTACTTTCTCTCCTAATAACAAATTATTGGCCACTGGAGATGACAAAGGAGAAATAAGGGTACTGCTTTAACCTTGCTGTTTACTTTATAATTCAGATGTCGGTCAGTTCACAGGCAAAAGAGTTCTCATAGTTTGTGTTCTGCATGCCTAACTCGTTAGCATTGTGGTGAACATCAGGGAGTTGAAAATAGCAAGGTTTGCCACATGAGACAGTAGTTTGTAACCGTATTGATAGATTTATGTTCCATGACTGCTGAGGAACTGGTTCACATGATTTACTAATAATTCTACTAGGAATTGCATGTGTGATTAAATCCTTCATATATGATACAGTTCTAAGAGGAGAATTCATTTTTGGGATTATTCTGTCACTTCAAATAGAATGCTTATTTACAAGGGTGTTTTTTTCTCTAATATAGGAAAATACATTTCAACTTTGATTACTGGAGATTTTTTTTCCCCATTAAATTTATTTATATACATAATCTTCTCTCTCTTTTAGATTTGGGATATTTTAACAGGTGCATTACTTCACTTCTGCTCACCAGTTACTGTAGATGAAGGAGAACCAACACATGGTGGTTGGGTAACAGACCTCTCATTTTCTCCTGACAGTAAAATGCTTGTGTCATCTGGAGGCTATCTTAAGGTAAGCCTTGAAATAATAAAATATCCAAACATAGCTTAATAAATGGCAATAGTCTGATAATTCTAAAGGAACATGCAGATTAATTCAAAGAAACAAACAAATGTTTTACTTAACACAAAGCTGCTCCATTTTCATGACTGCCTAGCACTTCTCGCTTTGCTTCTCAAATCTGAAAGCCCCCTGAAAAGATCTCTCAAGAATTCAAACTTCAGACTTGGAGTTTGTTTTTGAAGTCCATGTATTCCATTTCTATTAGCTTCATATTTTTATTAGCAACATCCTTTACTAACATCCTTAATATTAAATATCCCAGGAATTTTTGTCTGTCTTAATATCCACTCAATTTCAGCAGCAATTGTGTTCTTTATAATAAGCAGAAAAATGCTTTATGTCAGGCTTTTTTTTTTTTAAAGATAATGAGTTTTATAATTTTCCATAAATAGAAATTCAGAAGGAATTGCAAGTGATAATTTTCTGCCTTGAAAGACATTCTATAAGTTATCTTTGGAGGAGGGCATGTTGAAACTGAGGAAATCAGTCTTTTCATCAGTCTTTCATTGGTTTGGACTGGTCATATGTTTTTTGGGAAGGGAAGAGGTGATCTTTCTTTCAGTATGTGAATTGGTTCCTCATAATTATAAATTTCTTACAAGTTTTTTTTTTTCCTCCTCCTCATGTGATAGCTGATATCTATTAGTAGAAACTGTGTGCGTATGTGAAAAGACATATTGTGGAATTCTCATCTCACATAATGCTAGAGGCTGGTTGATTGTTGGTCAGTGTTTAGCTGTTGGACATGCTACCAGGCTAATTCTTTGAAGTCGGTTAGTAGCCATTTAACAAAGACTGTTGAATTTTCTAATTTAGCATTGAAAACATCTTCTGACGTTCCTTTCATGTTAAAGAACAAGACGTGCATCCTGTTTCTAGCTTCCTTCCCATTTTGCCTTGCGGTTACACAGTATAGTGTTGTGATGCTTCTTATATTCGTAGAATGGTTTAGGAAGTTAGGGGCTTCTGGAACTCATCTAGTCCAATCCCTTGCTAGAAGCAGCTTGCAGAGTTAGGTAAAATTGCTTAGGGCCTTGCCCCATCAAGTTTTGTCTCCAGTCCCAACAGAGGTGCCTCTGGGCCCTGAGACGAGAGTCTGACTCTGTCATCTGTAACCCTCTTTTTGGTAGTTGAAGACAGCAGTTAGCCACCTTCTCTTCAGGCTAAACAAATTCAGTGCTCTGTGTCTCTTCTATGACATCTGTTCTAGGTGTCCAGCCATCTCAATGACCATGTTCTGGACTTGCTTGAGTTTGTCAGTGTCTTTCTTGTACGAGGGTAGGGCTCAACACACAGTGACTGAACTGCTGACTACTACTTTTTGAATCCAGCAGTCCACCCGTTTTTTCACCTGCCTTATATTCCACCCATCCAGTCTTTAGCTCTCCAGTTTGACTGTAGGGACACTATGGGAGACCATGTTGAAGGCTTGGCTAAAGTCCAGGTTAATCACATCCACTTCTGGTGCTATGCTGTTTGCAGAGCCATGTCCATAGAAGTAAACTGGGTAGTTCAGCATGATTTACCTTTGGTAAGTCTGTGCTAGTTGTTTATGATCACCTTCTTGTTCTTCACATGACTTGAAATGACTTCCAGAAAACTTGTTCCATAATAATTCCAGACACTGGAGTAAAGGCTTCTGGCCTGTAGTTCCCAGCATCTGCTTTGCCCTTTGCGAAGATGGGTAGGGCATTTGCCTTTTTGCAGTCATTGGGAACGAATTCAATCAGCATGTCTTCTCAAAGTATTGTACTTCTACTTTTCTTTCAGGGTCTACAGCTGGATGTGTATGATGTGCATGAAAGCACACACACCCACATACACCCTTTTAGTAGGGGGATACTAGTTAGTGAAAGTCTAAAACATTTCAGAAGTTTGGACCTCTAAAAACTGGACTGAGTTGGATTGTAGAGTTACATGGAAGATACCTTTAAACAAATGAGTCATCTTATTCACGCATCCAGCTATGTACTGTTGAACTTGCTGTGTGAGTGGTACGCGCTGGCCCAGCACCTGATCATTTATCCACCAACAAAGGTTCAAGAGCTAATTAAGAGCCCCCCCCAGCCCCTCATCTCCATCAAATAACAGACACTTTTGAAAAGGTGTTTTTAATCAGAACATTATGGCTGTGTAGTTGCAAATCTGTATTATGCACACAACTGTAATGTTACATATTTCATGAGATGAGTAAGCTAAAAAGTAGTAATACCACCTGCTTTTATAGATGATCAAAGCTGAAGGTAATCTTTTTCAATATTTTGCTGTGGCACTCAAATGTTGCAAGAATAGAAGGTAGACTTCTTACTGGAACAATAAAGTAACAGCTTTGTTCTGGATTGCATTTGGTTCAATTTTGCATTGGTCTACAGTTTTTCTGAGAGATGTGAAATTTCAGTCTATGTTCATGGAGTAAACTGATGGTCGCTGGTTTCTCTATCTTTGTTATTAGTGCTTACTGTATATTCTCAAAAAATAAAAAAAAATTCTAATCTCACCGAAAAAATGTCTGTCCTGCTAACAAAACTGCAAATGGTTTCAAATGCATACATGATTGATCCTCTTGTGAGTCCAGCTAAGTTTTTTAATCCAGCTATAGTTTCAATTATATTGTCTGGCAGTGCATTTCACGTATTCATTTGGTTATATAAAAATACATACACTTTTAAATTTTGGACATGTTACAGTTTACATCTATTGATCACATTTTGTGATGGGGTAGGGGGCAGTACCTGAATTTATTATTTTGTATGCTTTCCTGAAACTGGAACAGCTTCAGTCTTTTTGAAATTTCTTTTCATCTGAAAGTCTTACACCTCTAGTAACTGGTCCTAAACATTTTCTGCTTAAGACTGCTTCTATTTTCATTTTTAATTCTATCTCTTTGGGGAAAGCAGCCAAGTGGGTTTGCCATGCTAAAGCTGTTCAAAGAATTTATTCTAAGCTTCCTTCAACTAACTGAAAGTGTATTGTTATTTTTTTTATAGTGGTGGAATGTAATTACTGGAGAATCCTTACAAACCTTCTACACAAATGGAACAAACCTCAAGTCAATACACGTGTGCCCCAATTTTGAAGTGTATGTGACTGTTGATAATCTTGGCATTCTTTATGTATTACAGAAGTTGTGATTAATGTGCTGAACACTGCAAAGATAATTCATTTTTTCAAGTTGGAAACAAAATTCTGTTAAATGTTTGTCTTACACTCATTAAGCTGTGAATTATATTTCATTGTTGTATTCATGATGTTTTCATGTATATTTATGTACATTTATGCATGTTTTTTCAAATGAACTTGCATTTAATCTTGTTTTTAACAAGCATTGATTTGCATCTTAAGTATGTTGCTTCCAATTTTGTAAGGAAATGATATTAAGATTTATTCAAATTAATTGAAATTAATATTAATAGCAGTGAAGAACTAATAGGAATATAAAGCTTTGGAATTGTATTTTGTGCTAAGGCTGATGGCTAAATGCTCTCTAGCCATGAACATAACTGTGTAAGATGCAAAAAAAATTTTTTTTTACTGTGGTGCAAGGATTTTCATTTGGTACGGAACAGAAAGAATCAGGGACATCCTTCATTTGAAAAATGAACGTAGCTATCTTGGTGCCTGGTGTTCAAAACAAATCAAGTAGCTGTTCAGTTTACAGCAGTAGTGCTTCCCACTTGCGGTAAGAACCTCCATGCTTCTGACCTTGTGGAGATGAAGTGCATTGTACCACATATGAGCTATTCCCGTTAAGGGGAACATCTCGAGTCTTGTTTTATCAAGGCAAAATCTGAAGAGATACTGCAATTGAAGTGGAAGAGATTGTGCCATGTTTCCAGTCGAAGGATGAATACAGCTAACCAGCTAAACTGAGAGTGGAAATGGTTTAAAAGGTATATATTGAAAAATATAAGAAGGTGTGAGTTTTAGTTTTAGTTATTTTTCCTTTTGGAATTAGCATTCGGTTTATGCTACGGAGACATTTTACTGTCGTCAGCTTTGTTTACATGGGATTCTATGCACAGGGATCTCTTGCCTGGTAATATGTGATTTTCTTTTTTTATTTTTTAATTTTTACAGTCTATTTATAGATTCAACATAGGGTAGAAATGTTGAAGTTTTGTACTAATTCTACTTGACATATTTTTTGTGAATAATTAGATAACAATTTTTCTTAGGTACCTAGTAAGCCTTGTTCTCGTAAATTGCCTCTCAACTGCTCTGAGCAACTGCACAAGCATTAATATCATGGTTTTCATATTTTTCTAGTTGGCAGTAGAACACTCCATCTAAGTACTTGATTGTAAAAAGTACATTAGCAAGTGTCTCAACTGATACTGAATAATGACATTCTCACTTTTACTATTTTTTTTGTGTGCATTTCAGAAGATTTAATATGCATTCTGTTTTTGACAATCACCAGTTTTTCCTCTTTCTTAGCTTGAAATTCCACTATTTCTAAGGTGCTATTGAATACGGGTCAGTATAATAAAAGTACTGCTGGCAGAAATGTAAAGAGAAGAAATGCGATAGAAAAAATGTGATGTTTTGTATTCTAAGTATGTACAGCATTCAATAAAGATAATCCAGGCAATACTGGCCAAAGTTGTAAATTAATTAGAATTCTTGAGTGGATTTTTTTACAGGGAAGGAGGGAGGGGGAGTGCTGCCTCTTTTATTGTGGTTTTATTTTCAATCTAAACATAATGCTGCTTTGGAAACTACATCAAAAATATTTTAACAGGTATTGAATATGAGGATGGAGGAAAAAGTGAACAAAGGGAAACTGAAGTCTTGGAATGTGTCCTGCAATGTTCTACTGTCTAGTTTGTACAGAGCTCATCGGTTCCTTCCCTGAACAGCTGAAGGTTCCAGGAGTGGGAAGTTCCTCTCAGCCAGTGTCCCTTGATTGCATGGGCTGTGCTGTCCTTACTGCACAGGACCGTGTTGGTCTGAACTTAGAGACCCAACTAGGGAAATAGATACAGGATAAATGTTTCACCCAAGGAACCGGGGCAGAAGGTTGTCTTTTATGACAATGCTAATGAAACTCTGGTGATAGGAAAAACTGATCATGGTTTAATGAAGAAAGTGATCTGTGAAAGAGTGGAGTTCATAGCTGATTTCAGTTTTGAAGCAGGTATCACAGAAGCTTGACGAAATGTGGGATACACAGTGCATTCTTGAATTATTCTGCAAGAATGACAACACAGCAGCGTTATACTTGTTGCTGAAGCTGAGGAAGCTGTGCTTCCTGGAAGGTGGTGTTAATGGAGTCAGGATGGTTGCGATCATGTGCAAATGTATGGAATTGGCTGTACGTCTTTGTAGCTGAGGCGGAAGAAGAGAAATAGCGATGAGAAAGTCTGAAGAGGCAAAGAATAGTTATGATTCAGAGGAAGAGGATGACAAAATCTAAATGAAAAATTGTTAAAATAGGGGCCAACCAAGACAGCAACTTCTTTAATTTAAAATTTTTAAGAAGGTTAAGGCAGTTTACTGTAATAAAAAAATAAAGTGCTGCTGTGTCATCAGATTTAGCCATTCTTTTTGATGTTAGATGTATTCTAAAGGAAACAAAAGAAAGTTTGGCCAGCAGCCATTTTTATGTAGATTGAACATTAGTGCTTCAATTATCTCTTGTAATGCCAGATCAAATTGAGTCAATCTGCATTCAAATTTAACTAATAAGCATTGCCAATTTTATCTAGTTCTTGAACTGAAACTATAATATGCTTTTGTGTAAACAATTTTTAGATACAGTTCCTATTAATGATGCTTATCAGTTTCTGTAGAAGTTTTGAGTCTCTTCATTTTGGCAATTAGACCTACAGCTCCTTCACAAATCTCCTTTTTTCTCTTTCCTTTATTAAAAAGGAATTGTACCCACATGCGATACAGCTGCCTAAGAAGATGCTTGATATTGCCTTGAATTCTACCATCCCTTTAACTCCTGTGTTCCCCTTGCTCCTCTCTTATCTTACACAGTTGTTTGAAATGGAACTATGCAGTTATGGCCTGAGGTTTTTTCATGTAAAAGTTTATAGATTTCTCGTAGTGCTGGAGTGTGTGGGTAGAGCTGGAACCGGTAACCTGTTGCTAGTAGAGGAACATCCTCCACCCCAAAATTATTCTGCCTGAAAATAGATGCAGTTGAACTCTGTGTTACAGCATGCTGTGCAAATTGTTGATTTTTTTTCCCCAGTTTTTTTAGTGAAGTCTTCATATGGGACCCAGTTCCCCAGGTTATATCTAGCTAGGACAGAGTGCATGTCCTCGTCTTTACTGTCCTGAGGTGTTTTACAGAAGCTGATGCCTTTGCAGGTTTCAGGGGAAAGCCAGGCTGAGAAAGCAGTCTGACTCAGGTGGTGCCTTCTTGTCCTCCTGGAAGAGAACATTGCAGGGAGGCCACTCTGCCCCATCTTCAAGAAGCCGGTAAATCCAGAATACCAGTAGGCCACAGAGATTTCAGGTATGTTCTTCCAATGGCTAGTAGAACATGAACCCCTTACTGAACTCTTCAGGTACCCTTTCTCCTTCATAGCGAGTACAGATGCCATGGCAATGCCAAGGACTGCAAAAAACCTGGTGGCCGAGAGGCGGCGCTCAGGTGCATTTGTCCACATCTATCTCTTTCTTCTGTCTGCTACAAAGACACAAATTTACTTGGGTTCATAGATGGTGATGACAATGCCCGAGAGCTCTGAGGACTTGGGACGCCTTATTTCTGTTGTGATTTCAAGAAGAGCAGAAGCCAAATGAACCTTACTGTTTGGTGACCAGGGAGCGTGCCAGCCACTCAGAACACTTCCAGAGTGATTTTTGGTGCTCAGTTTCACTTTGCTCTTTCAAGCTAGTGAACGGGACACAATCACTGACTCTGCCAATGTGCGATACGATGTTAAGATGAGACCAGGCTTGTTTGTAGTACGAACCCTGCAGTAGGTTGACCTGTACTTTTCAGCACTTCCAAAGCTGCTGCGCAGCATGCTGCTATCCGCATCTTTGTGAGGTTTTTTGAGGGCTGGGGAGAAGTGGGTTTGGAAGAGGGGTTTTGGGTTTTCTTGGATTTAGAGGGTTTTCTTCCAAATTACGTTACTGCACACCCTCCTTCTAAGGGGGCTTTTTATGAGAAACCTTGCAACTAGATTTAATAGAGGCCTAAGCTGGGGCTCTGAGGGTGCATCCTAAAGGACCCAATGAGTTTGGAGTACGATTTCTCAGTCTGCATGTGTTATTGACAACTTCAGCACTTCCTATGTCATCTCCTACAGTTACACTTGAGGGATATAGCACAACTGTGTGGTGATTGGACCAGTTGAACTATTTAAGTGGCGTGCATGTGTTTATCCAGAAGGATGAGAAAACTGGAGTATCTTTTAAGTGTTTCAATAGGCGGTTTCTCTCTTGGGGCCTGACTGTTTACAGAACAAATTAGCTTCCTGTGCTTGTTTCCATTTAACAAACCATACGTTGTACGTATAAGAAGTGCTCTGAGAATGGTTAGATTCCAAGTCCTTCAGGCTAGAGAGGATTCTTGTTCTATGCTCAAGAGGAATCATCTGAGTACTTACTTAGGATGCCACAATTAGACCCTGTGTGTTTACATGTGTGGTATTTTTCATTTCTTCTATTTACTTCTTCCAGTTTATTTGTGTCCCTCTGTGATTATTTTTTTTTTTAGCTTTGTCCAGTTTCTCTAATAACATATGAACTCAGATGAATTTTGAAAATCATGGTGTTTAAAATGACTCAAAATGAGGCAAAGGCAAATTTGCTGAATCCAACTGTGTAAAAGTAAGTACGATGCTGTTTAGGTAAAGCATGTATGCATTTAGGCATTTTTAATGCCTAAATGCACAGAAAGTATGCTGAATATTTAAAATAACTTAAAAAATGGTATTTTACATTACTCACATTTCTAAAGCAATAGGCTCTTTTACCTGTTCTCTACTAATTGTACAGCAAATTTCTTTTCTATAGATAACTGGTACTTTCCAGCAAGTGAGACCAGGGATTTCCTGTAGTTCTAAGGATCCCATTATTTGGCTGTAATATTCTCCAAAGGTAGTAATAATTGGTCCGTACTCCTCATCCTCACTAGAGTCAACATTCAGGGTCTTAACACATAAGA